CAGTATTTCCAGTGTTTTACATGCTTATGCTTCAGCGTCTGTAGACTTGCTTTTCCGAGCACCTGTCCTGGTTCTCCGGTACCACCAGTTTTTGTTTTGTTGATGAAGACGGTAAGGTGGCCCATGGCCATTTTTACCAAATTTGTTCCTCTAGGTATAGCCTGTGGCTGTGGGTCACCCCTCCTGTCCATACTCCCTGCAGAAAGACTCCCCAGAACATGCTGTTAATATCACTTTAGTGGCCCACCGTGCTCTACCCTCAGAGTCTGAGAACAAGCACATGAAATGTGGCAGACATGGTTTCCTGATCTTGAGAAAATGAAAGTAGGAAACACCCCCAATAACACATTCCTGAAACACAGCTTGAAGTGGTTTCATTCTTTCCGAGTTAACAAACAAGTAACTTTCAGCTTATGGTTGTAAGAACTAGCAGATTTGCTGGGTACCTAAGTTGTCATGTTCTAGGATAAAACTGAGACAGAGGGGGCTAGAGAGATGGGTCAGTGGTTAAGAACACTGGCTGTTCTTGTAGAAGACCCAAGTTCGAATCCCAGCACCCATACAGCAGCTAACAACTGTCCGTAACTCCAGTTCCACGGGATCCGACAGCCTCTCCTGTCCGCCACGGGCATTGCACAACACAGGTGCACTTACCTACATGCAGGCAATACAAGCGTACACATGAAAAAATGAAATAAAATATTTAAAAAATAAACTGAGACAGAGGCAGGTACAGCGTGCGTCTCTCAGGGCCGTTATTTGTGGCATCTATGGAAGGTATCACTTTAGAAGAGATGACCCTGTGTCATTCAAGGGAGTTAAGAAAAGATGCAGCATTCTCATGGCTCTGTCTCCATCTCCGCAGCTCAGCAAACACCCTGAAGGAGGACATGTTTTTAAGGCATGGAGGTAGTCTCTGCATTCCCAGGCAGAGCTGTCCTTCTTAGTCAGAGGATCAGGGAGCACAGATGGTAAATTCAAGCCTGTCCTCTGGCCCCATATCCACTTTCAGTCTACCAAGCACTCTTAGAAAAAAATGTCTCGTAAAAAGGAAAAGAAATTCTGCAAGTTGGAAAAGATGGAAATACTAAAGTTTGAGGGCTGCAGAGATAGCTCTGATAACCTGATGTGGCGCACCAGAACTCACGCGGTGGAAGGAGATAATCAACTCTGGCCAGTTGTCCTCTGACCTCCACACCTGGAACTTATGCCCCCCCCATATATACATATATGTAAGTAACTTTTTTGCACATGCAAGACTTGTGTATGCTGTCATAAGTGCTGTGGGTTCATATGTACAACCACCCTGTGGCGTCCAGATAACACAATTTCCCTGTGTTCATCTACCCCCATTATTTGTCCTTTCTTTTGCAATGATCCTTGAGCCTTCAGAGGAGAAGGCATCCCATTTCGATCTGAGAGCTCCGTGGTCTCTTATTTTCTGCACATTGACTATAGAGCTGAGAATCTATTGGCAACTGTTGGATGCTGGGAGAGAGAGAGAGAGTCAGTTTTCCTTACTAGTGTGATGCCTGGTAGGTTGACCAGACCCCAGGGCATGGACCCATACCCAGGAGCACTTGAGAGCCATGGATTAGAATCAATAGGCCTTTATAAAAACTAACTAAATAAATAAGTGGATATATTTTTAAAATTTTTAAAGTTTGAACCAACTCACTAACCATTTGACAAAGGATCACAGAGGCGACTTTCTTGTGCCTCTTTCACTATACCTCCTGCTCATAGTATAGGTATAGTGATTGCTTACAGTGGTCTGCAGCCACACCAGGCTGCCCTTCATGTGATGACTGGGTGGTATAGCAGGCCTCGTGACAAGACTTGGTCCAGCAATGGGCAGAGAGACAGTGTGAGCGCATCTGTACTCTGAACAGAGCGAGCATCAGGAGCCATGCGTCTTCCCAAATTTTGTTCTTGGATTTGGATGAGATTTAGCATGTGTGTGCTTGCCAACACCCATCCCCGACCAGCTTCGACTGGACTTACCCACAATGCTCCATGAGTGTGCACTGGGCAAAGCTTCCAGAACTTCCCCAGCCCTCCCCACGCTTGGCTTCCAGCGTCTGTGGACTCTTCCTGGGACCACCCACCATTCCCCTTCATTGTGGCTCAGAGTTTATTTTTCTAGGAGGATTAGTCTAAGAGTAAACGTGATAGGCCTACTGGCCCTCCCAGAGAAAACCATTTCTGTGTAAAGTGAAAATTAGGCTCTTAAATCTGCAAAGAAAGCTGTTTATCTTACAAATTTATTCTTTTTATTGGACCACACATATCCAAGATAGAAAGATAAAAGGAAAACAGATACGCACCATCACTTAGAGTGACATACAGCGAGGCACGGCTCATCGCAACTTCTGTAAAGCCTTCCAAAGCAGCGTGTCGTCTGTCTCCATATTTATCTAGAATATGCTCTGAGCAAGCCCTCACCGAAAGCTCCAGTAGACACACACCCTTCCTCATCGTGCCCACAGCTTCTCTTCCACAGCTGTCGTCCTGACTCCAGGAAGAAACTTCTAGGGCAGACTGTAAGACAAGAGGCCTTGCAGAAATTCACCTCCCAAAGAATGCCCCTGCCTGACTTGAGCTTGAAGCTGATATTCAGTACGCTCAAGTCCTGCTTATAATTCACAAAGGTGGCTGCTGGCTTCCAGACTTAAATTGGCTATCTTGATATGTTTCTAAGTGCCACTCAGCAGAGTTTTAATCAGGCTCATTATTGCTTAAACTGACCCCATGATCCTAGCAAAAGGAGAGCTGGGTCGTTTGAGGAGGGCAAGTTCTATATGCTATAGGGTTGGGACAGGTAAATATAGGGGCATGGTATTTGAGCTGTTTAAACTGAAGTGGACTACATGGAGTTTCGCATCCCAGTACTCAGAAAGCAGAGGCAGAAGATGAATGAGTTCAAGGCCAGGCTGAGCTACATAGTGATGTTCTGTGTCAAAAAAGCCATGGGCCTAGAGAGATGGCTCAGCAGTCAAGAGCATCTTCCAGAGAACCTGAATTCAGTTCCCATCACCCATGTTAGGCAGCACACAACCACCTGCAACTCCAGCTTCAGGGGATCTGACACCCTCTTCTGGGCTCCACAGGTACCTATACTCACACATGCAGAGACCCACACATGGACCCACACACATATACCCATAAGTTAAAAAAATAAAAATAAGGACTGGAGAGATAGCTTGGTGGGTGCTTGATACCAAGTCTGTGAACCTTAGTTCAATCTCCAGAACGCATGGCCTGCAGCTCCAGAATGCCCCAGGAAGACTTCCTGTGTGGGTTTACTGTATTTCCCATGATGTTTGCCTTTACCCACAAGTCATCCTTGGGAATTTCCTATGTTTATTGGGATGACCATAAATCTGTTGCTTGCTGAGATGACAGACTTTGGGTGAGAGTTCTGGATATGAATAAGCCAAATTCTCCCATTTGTAAAAAAATTTGGGTGAAAACCTTTGAGTGATTGCATGCCCCAAGTGGGTCTTCCAACAGTGATGAGGAGAGCTGGGGAGAATCGGATGAGAAGGAGGCCTCCAGTGCACTTTGCTTGGGTGGTGACCTGCTCACCCATGGTCCGAATGCAGAAGCGATGTTCCAAGCCAAAGCACTTGCACGGTTGCTGGGAGCCAACATCCAAATAAGAATTAAGTGTGTTTGCCTTCATAGTGTTCATGGTCTATAAGTCTGTCCCTTTCGGCTGTTAGTAGAGAACACCAGGAACGGATGTTGCAGAATAAAAGCAATTTGCATTTTTCCGTGGCTTGGAAGGTACAAATCTTATTTATTCTCATCTCGGCAGAACTCACAGATTTGCTCATTACCCTAGAAGTTTCCTTTTTCTCATACTGGGATTTACCACAAGACCTGGAGGGTGGGCTGGAAGCTGTGGCCAGGACCATGCCTGCCTCAGGGGCTCGGATTCTGCGCCAGGCCTGAGCCTCCACTCCGTGGGGAGGCCTGAGACTTGGGAAGGAGTGAGTCCAGAGAGGGTCCTCTTGCCTCCCCTCCTCACAGACACAGATGCCCAAGGCCTGGTTTGCTCTGCGAATGTCTCCTGCACAGCAGCATGATGTCAGGCCCCGGGTATTGCAATAACATATCCCCAACCACTAGATATTTTCAACAGTTTTATTTACTATTATGTCCCATCATTTCTGTGCAGAAGGCAGCCTTATGTAAATTTTATTCCACTTTCTAATGGTTTGGGTTACATAACAAATAACAGCAGGATGGCAAATTTGTATTGATACTTTACGGAGCGAGTTCTCAAGTCACTGCACTGAGATTTAAATGCAGTGCTCGGAGTTTATGAGAGTTCTGCAGCTGAGTTTCTGCACATGACTTTGAATGTGTCACTGTGTGTTTATCATGGGCTAATTGTGGAACCGCATTTCCATACTTTTTCTTCTCCCTTTCATGTGATTCCACCAGCCAGGGATGGATACAACTCTGCGAGGAAGCAATGATCGGTTTGGGATAATTTTCTTTCCTGTCCTAAAATAGCTGGATGTCTGCGCGTCTTGGGGAATCAGCTGAGACCCTTCCCCACCCACTTTGTTGCTGGCTAAGCTGCCAGTGTGATTTTGATCCTATAGTGAACTTTCTGGCTAGCCTGTATTACCAATTAATCGAATTCAACAAAACACCCACATTTTCAAACTTTTAGAAAAAAATATATTTAATAGGAACTAAGCAAAAGAAGAAATCAAACCAGCTGCTGACACAGCTGTTTCTTCTCTTGTTTAATTCAGTTCAATATAAAGGTACCATATGCTGCTTAAAATGATGATAGGAAAGATGAAATAATTTAAGAGAATAACAAGAAAATACATGAATTGTCAGCATTCTGTCAGATTTAAAGAATGAAATAGACAGGTGTAGTATTGACATGTTTAACTTTGTGTGGTGTTAGCAGTTTTGGTGCGAACAACTTCTGACATGTGCTGAAGTGATGTGAGAATGTTTCTCCTCCGCTGCAGACATCGGCGAGGAGGCCGGGAGAGCCGCCGGCGTCCAGCAGCCGGCGCTGCTTCGAGACAGGAGCCTGGGCTCGGCCATGAAGGACTGCCCGTACTGTGGGAAGACTTTCCGGACTTCCCATCACCTTAAGGTCCACCTGAGGATACACACAGGTGAGAGAGAGATCTAGGTGTGTCCGGGTGTCCAGGGGGCACCACTCACCCAGAAGAGGAGGTAGCCCCCAAGTTCAGCCATGATTCTGGCTCCGTCCTCAGCTCTTAGTCTCTAACACCGTGTCAGTCAGTTTCTCTCTTTATTGCTATGACAAACATGAGGGAGAAACAGTTTAAAGAAGGAAAGGTCATTTTGGCTCATGGTACAATCCATGGTCAGCGAGTTCCATTGTTGTTAGGCCCTTGGTGAGGCAGAAATCTCGTACTGGAGCTGTGTGGGGGAAGAAAGCAACTTACCTCATGGCACACAGGGAGCAGACAGAAAGTAGGTCTGTGCTCTTTCCCCCTCTTTTGTCCCAGTCAGGCTTCCATCTTCTTGACTGATACCACTCATATTCAGGATAGGTCTTTCTCTCTTTTAACTAACTGTCTCTGTGGACACCCTCACAGACACACCCTAAGGAGTGCTTTACTGTTCTCCTTAAGCGTCTTTCAACCAATTAAATTGGTAATCAAGATTAATCATGGTACATCACAGGCTGGACAATGCTCCATGGCTGTCTATAAGACTCGTTACTTAACTAAACACCACCTTCTTGAAAGACACAGGAATGCAAAGGCATACACCTTACATGGTCCAGACCTGGGATAACGAAGCTTTGCCTGAGATCCAAGATGGTGTCTTGATGCTTTTTCCTTTTAGTACTGATGTAGCCCCTTCCATCACCAGTGTATGCAGCAAGTCTGCAGTGTATGCAACAGTAAAAATGGGACCCAGACCAACCTCTCATCAGTCTAGATGCGAAGAAGGAGATCCCCCAAATATCCAGCAAGACTGGCCTTTGGCCCAGCATGCGTTCCAAGCCCATCTTCAGGACTGGACACACAGAGTCACCCCACCCCATTACATGGATGGGGTTGAGGGATTCATCATGGCGTTTACTCAAGAGAAACTAGAAAGTAGAAACTGTTTGCCCTCAGCCAAACAGAGGGAAGCGCTGCTGGGCTTCTCTGGCCATGTCTCTCGTCTGGACTCACACTAGTCCTGTGCAGCGGGGCTTCTTTTTAGCTCTCTGCCTTGCACCTCAGCCACTGTCCTTTTTAGCCTTTCTGCTAGTTGTTTGTGCATTGCCAATATAAAAAAATCTATCTGAGTTATGGACACCTCCATTTTCTTTGATTTTTCTCCTGACACTTTATCTATTGGAGTGTGAGCTGCTTCAGAGGATAGACAAATATGCCATCTATTTTCAAAAATAATTGTGTTCTATTTCCCGTGGAATCAATAACTCTGCTCATGGATGGGCAGGGATGGCGAGTGTATGTATACAGGCCTTGTGTGCATCTAAAGATGAGGCATCTCCCTCACTTGCATCTTTACCTGGTACCCAAAAATCTGACACTGCAAGAAGCCTGTGCACAGGTGGCAGTGGGCCGGCAGCTGCCTCTTGGGAGTCACCCAGGACCACAGTTGCCCTCCCTATTGCTGTGACAGTATCTAACACAAGAATCGTAAAGGAAGAGAGGTCTTTTTGGCTTATGGTTCAGAGGATATAGCCCGTCCTAGAAGGGAAAGCACAGCAGCAGACAACTCTGTCTATTCATGGTGGCCGTGGGCGCTCACTCCCATCTCAGCAGGCAGGAAGCAGAGACCTCCAGCAAGAAGCACAGCTGGGCTGTAACCCACAAGACCCACTCCTACATCAGCTAGATCCTAAGTCCCAAAGGTTCCGCAACCTTCCAGAACAGCGCCCGCAACTGGAGATCAAGTGTTCAAACACAGGAGCCAGTGGGAAACATTTCCCATCAAACCATTACAAAAGGATCTTTTCAAACTATGCACTGGGCACAGTCCCTTACCTAAAGGCCTCTGATGTCATCTGACCTACCTCATTCCTGACCCACTCGCACTGTTCTCCATCCTTGGCATCACATGTCCATGTCTTCTTGCCATCCCTTCAGGGCAGAACGCCTGCCCCTGCTTGGACTTTGTACAACCACTGCCTTCACCCAGAATGTCCTTCTTCCAGGTGGTTACTGACGATGTAGCTTGAATATGAGGCCACCCCTCACCCTTCACTTTTCTACCAAAGGTGCTTGACATCCTTGCTTTATTATCACCAGTGTAACATGCTACCGGAGGGTCTTGGGCTGCTCCGTTTTTCTGTTTTGTATGTAGTTTCATACCAAGCAGAGCCTTTGATTTGTGAGGGTGGCCATTTGTCCATCGTAGTTGTTGCTATTATTTTTGTAACCCAGATCTCCAAGAGTACCTTACACATAGAACACTGAATGTATTTAGTTTTATTACATTTATTTATCTATTGTGTGAGTGTGTGTATGCATGCATGTGTGTGTCTGTGTGTGTACATGGGTGTGTATATAGAACACTGAATTTATTTATTTTTATTACATTTATTTATTTATTGTGTGAGTGAGTGAGTGTGTGTGTGTGTGTGTGTGTGTGTGTGTACATGGGCATGGGTGTTGGGTGTCACAATGAAGTCAGAGCACAACTTCCTGGAGTAGATTCTCTCCTTTCCACTGTGTAGGTCCTTGGATTTGAACTTGGATCTTCAGGCTTGGCAGCAACAGCCTTTGCCTGCCGAGCCATCTCCCCAACCCTTGGGACACACTAAATTTAAATATAAGACCAAGTGACAGAACAAATGCTGGCATCAGGACATGGCCCCTTTCCTGTCATTCTTGCTCTGAACCACGTGGCACAGAAGGGTCAAGCGCAGTGGGCAAGGTGTTCCCATGTCTAGAAGACATAGGGATTCATCAGGCACACAACACAGCTGCCAGCACCACATTCTTGGGGACCAGCCTTCCCCAAGGGTGGAGGGAAGGCTCTCTGAGCTCCAATATCAGCATCTTTGTGCTTTGCCCTGCTCCCTCTCCCTGCCGTGTTTTCCTCCACAGCTCACACCCCATCTGGCGTCCCACACATTTGCATTTTGTAATTGCCTTTCTCCTTTCTTAGAGTGGGAGCTCAGTGAGAACACAGACTTCTGTCTGTCTGTCCAGTAGTATCTCAAGGTCGACAGCAGAGACTGGCTGGCTCAAAAGATTGCTGAGTGAACAAAGGAGTGTGTTAGTAAAGACAGCCAGGCTCCTGCAGAGTCATCTCAGACACCTGGGTTTCTTGGATTATGTCAAACATCTGTGTTCCTCCGTAGGTTGGAGTCGAGGGTCCCCTTTGAGGTATAGTGGTGACTGTGGGAATGCTGAGACTGTCAGGACATGGAGGCTGTCCATGGAACACGCACTGCCAGGCAGTGCACGGGAGTGGACTGTGGCTCAGGGGTGTCTTGTGACTGTACTTTTTAGTTGACTTCAACATAGAGCCCTGGGATGCTTTGTGGGGTAGTGGTGGCTTCCTGTGGGTGAGGTGGTGAGGTATACCTTGAGGGAGATTGGGTCAGCCAAGCAAGGGCTCTTGGTGCCTCTCAACATGGAAATGGCTGTCCCTGAGGGCCCACTGCGACCCTACCGCCAAGTCAGGACCAAGACTTCTGCACGAAGAAGTGGATGGAGGCCCAAGGATACTGCTTCCCAGAGGTTTAAGTCTTGAGAAACATGCGTTTGTTTTTCCCAGCTTCTATATGACAGACTTCTAAGGCTTGTGACCAATGCTCTTTGGAGACACAGAGAGAGGCAAGACAGGGCCATCAGCAGCAGCATTCCAGAAACTTCCTTCGTAGGGAGAAAATGAAAGAAGCCATGGAAACATCACATTTCCACCATCTCCGCCCCCGGAAACAGCATTTGCTGGGTTTAAAAAGCAGGATGGCAGCCAGATAAAGATCGATTTCCTTTTTTATCTAAGAACAAAGAAGTTGGAGAATGCTTGCACTTGTGCGTTTGAATGGAACAGAAAGTGTTACATGTTAAAAATCACCAAAGTAAACATCCATTACTACAGTGTAAAAGTGCAGATTACACAAGTAATTAAAAATCAAAATCAAGTTATTTGTTAGTAAATGACTTCATGTGGGGTTCAAGTGAGATGCCATGAACTGCCTTCCCCTTTGCCACTTGGGTGTCTGGGTTTCTAAATGGTATGGCTAGAGGACAGCAGGCCATGAACGAAAAATGCATGTGCCCCCAAGTGCCGTCATTGTCTCTTAAAAGTTTCCCCCGAACAGACGCATATGAGCACATTTAAGAATCCAACATGTAATGAATACAGTTTAATTGCTTTGGCTATACGAGGGACCATGCTCTGTATTTTTCTATCGTACTCCATCTTTATTAGAAGTCGTGATCATATGACATCGACTGATAAAAACCATTTTCCTTTCTTTTCTCCACTGCATTAACTTAATTACGGCTCTTCTCCCAACACCTGTTTATTAGAGAGGCGCTGAGTAGAAGCAGCATTCAAGATGCTCTGAACATCTGGGGGCTGGGGAGACCCTGCAGGTAGCCAGGATGTATCTGTGTCCCTCCCTCCTCAGCTTCAGCCAGATTGGTGAGGGAAGGGGGGAGGAGGATGAGAAGTGCCTACAGGACCTAGAGACACTCCCCATTTGGCTCCTGGAAGGGAAGTGTCATTGCTACTCAACCCAGGGGAAGCAGAGCCTCTCTACTCTGGGAGACGCTACCTTGGGCTGGGTAAGACCTGATGACCTGGATCACTAGGCATGAACAGTTTCCCTTCTTTTGCACAAGCGTTGTCATTTGAATTCAGAGCTGATTAGTGCAGGCTGAAAGGGGACTGAACCAGTCAGGCTTCTCATGAGAAACAGCACCAATCAGAGCTTGTATAGCCACATGCTAGGTACCAATGCTTCTGTCAATGACAGATTATATGGTGATGGTTGATTATAATGGAGAGGCTGATGCAAGTTCATGAGTTCAAAACCAGCCTGGGCTATTTAGTGAAACTCTGTCTATGGAAAACAAAAAGCAAAAAACAAAATGAGATACTAATGGAGCTGAAAATTCCCATCACCTAGTGATGTCATGACATCACAGCACATCTTTGGTTTTGT